TCATTCTACATGGACATAATAAATTGTGGGCAACATTTAGTGCGTTATGAAATTGCTCATATTGAATGCTAAGTACAGTAATCTAACCGTAAACACCTTTTAGAAATCCACGCCTAGTCCAAGAATATTTATAAACCTAGTGCCTAAAGTATACAAGTACTAAGATGTTCTTAATTAAAAATATAATTTTACCTGTTAATTAGGGGCTTGGCGGTAATCTCGCGGCTAATGTACTTTTTCATGCCGGTGGGGGTTTTCGCCTAGGAAAAGTTCGGCCATATCAGATTTACTAAAGGCTTTCCAACGAAATATTATTTTTAATAGTTATGAAAAAAGAATTAACGTCCGCTTGTTGCAGTCTTAATTAGTAGCTTAATGTTGTTTATCATTTGTGCTGATTTGGCCTTAATGGTGATTAATGATGTTTCAAGTGTGGGAGAGCCATGCTTCGGTACGAATGGGCCGGCTCGACCGGAGTGATACCACGGCCTAACAGAAAACCGATGTGAAGCAACGCTTGCGTTGTGTTTCGTCGTGTGAGTGAGGTTATTGAAGGTCCAATTAACCTTTCCCAATCTCTCCAATCCCTGAATCCCCAAAAAACCTCAAATTTCTAATCCCCTAAAGGCCGGTAACGCCTGTGGTGTTACAGGTGTCCATAGGCGACGCCAAATGCTTACCATCTGATGATCTGTCAACAACAAACAAAGTAAGATGTGATTGAACCTTAGGGTTGACCTATAATAATCCGTGGAAGTAGCATCATAGTTTTATTACGTCTGTAATAGGTAGATATTTCCAATAGTCAGTAACGTTTCCCACCTCCCATATCCTCATATTTAAACAACACAAGGACAAGATAAAAATCACCAAAGAAGAATATACCAAAACTCATATCATATGGAGAACCTTGAAAAAATATTGCTTACATTTCATAAAACATTCAGACAACACAGAACAAAGACGTTCGATCAAAAAAAAAGAAAAATAAAAGAATCGATAAGAAAAATCGTCTCCAATCAACTGTTGGAACACAAATCGAGAAATCGTAACTCACGTTATTTCTCGAACATTGGACAGCGAAAAAAAAAATCATTTCCTAAAATCATTGTAGGACCGAAAATGTATCGCGCGAAGGAAATAAAAAACACATGGGCAATAGGGTTGGCAAAATTATAAATCATACTCCTGCGAAAACCTAAACATGTCCAGTTGACAAAAAGGGTGATTTCTCAAAATTTATGGCCAGCCCTACGTACGTAGGCTGTGTACACTGAGTTATACTATGTTGACGTTTGTTTAGCGGCGGGGGTTAGCAGATATGAATGAACGTTATGAATTTGCTTCATATTTTAAATACATGTGTACAAACTTGGCATGGTGGCATGAGGGTGCGGGCGCGAAACCTACGAACGGCAAGTACCAATGTGACTTATTCCGCGTTTCTAAGATTATCTAGACACCACTGACAAACGATGAAGGAAAACATCGTGAGGAAACCTGGACTTAATTATAAGTTTGTAATCGCCAACCCGCATTGAGCAAGCGTGGTGATTCTCACCTTCTCCGTGTGAGATGAGGCTTTGCTCAGCAGTGGGCATTTATAAGCTGTTTATGATGAGCATAAACTTTGGATCCTGACAGTTGAATAGATGTAAATAAAACTATAGAAAACGGAGTCTCATGATGAAATGGATTTTTATCACTGTCTGACTTAGAAAAACCTTTTCACATCCAAGTAAGGACTGAGAAATTGTGTGTCGTACCGAAAAACAAGCCGACTTACAGTAACTTTGTTTAAGAACTAAATGCCACGTAATCTACGATCCAATTCCATTACTCTGCATTAATACACATTATGCAATGATCCTAAACACCACGACCCGTTATGACCTCAAGAATATATTACAAGTGATGGCAAAAATAGAGGGTCACGTTAGCAAAATATAAACACCATTGTTTTAGGCCTAAGTTTAGGAGTGGGAGGTCGTTACGTCATAACGTGCTACAAAATGTGACACGCTGTGACGTCATACGATGTTTCAAATTAATATATGGTCGAAAGTATTTAATTTTGTGATAAAAGAAAAAATACGTGTCTAAAGTTTTAAATTAATGTATCAGACGGACATTAAAATATCATTTAGGAAACTACCCTATTATGCGTGGACTTAGTACCTACCAGTTTGGTTTACGTTTAAAGTAATCGAAACCGTTTAGTATTTTTCCAGCAAATTTTTCAAAAATAAGTATGCTGTTTGACGCTAAAAAAACGTGACGTCACAATATAAAACTTCGTACAAAATTCATAGAAAACTGTCATTTTTGACTGTTCAATAAAAGTAGGTACTGAATTTGACTAGATGTCAAGTACCCAATTGATTGGTTTCTTAAAATCGAACGAGCCGATTCGCGTCACTTTAAAGAGTTATATAAAAAGTGACGCGAGTATCTATGGTGTGGACACCCGCGTCACCGACAGGAATTACAAGTACATTGCGTTGGATCTTCTCGGCCTATCTGATAATGATGTTCTATGCGTAACATAGCTGACGATACATAGTTTATGAAAATGCATCTTATACAGGTGACTCTAAAATGAAATGTCATCTATTTTGTATCGAAATTCAGTGTTTAGACACTGGCGCTGTAATCAGTTAATGAATGCAAGAGAATCGCATGCTATCTGCATTGAGCTCGCTTCGTTCCATCGCAACATTCCTCGTCTTGTTTCACTTCATTTTGTTTTCACGGGAATTCGATAAACATTTACTCTCTGTTTCTATCTTCTGAAAATACTTGCAGAACTTGAGATGGTTCTGTTCACCCACTCTTTATAGGGAATCGAAATCCTTTTATGTAGAGAAGAATCCTATTTCAGGAATAGACTATAACTTAGTAACATCAACATCTTGGTCTTGGAATCCTAGGTGTACCCTAATAGATTAGATCACAGGGGTGTAGCTAAAAGTTGTTGTGAGCAAACAATACCTTCCACAAGGGCCCGTAAACTAATTTTTATACGAGAGCCCGCCAAGGCATGCTACGCCACTGTTGGATCATTTTAAGTGTGGGCACAATCACGATTGGGCCGGCTCGACCAGATTGATACCACGGCCTTACAGAAGACCGACGTGAAACAACGTTGTGTTGTGTTTCATCGTGAGTCAGGTAGCCGGAGGCCCAATTGCATCCCCTCCCCAGTCTACCGAATCCCCGAAACCTCCACAATCCTCAAATTCCCAATTCCCAAAAGGCCGGTAACGCATTTGTAACACCTTGATGTTCCAGGTGTCCATGGGCGACGGCGATTGCTT